TGCTCCGCCACCGCCGCCTACAACTCCCGCACAGCGGTCCCAGCACAGCTGCCTACAACTCCCGTCGTGCCCCGCGCGAGCCCCGCCCGCCATTTGCCCGCCCTTTCCCGCCTCACGCCGCCGCCTACAACTCCCGTCATGCTCCGCCACCACCGCTGCCTACAACTCCCGTCATGCTCCGCCACCACCGCTGCCTACAACTCCCGTCGTGCCCCCCGCTCGGCGCTCCGCCCCTTTCCCCTCACGTGAGCGGCGGCTCCGCGCTCTGTGTGAGGGAGCCTCCAGTTTCCCCAAATCCCCTCAGAATTTGGGGACCCCCCCGACCCCCCAGCCATGGAGGAGGTGGACAAGATCCTGATCCACTCCCTGCGCCAGATGGGGACGTGAGTGGGGCGGGAACGGGTCCGAGTTTCGGGGAGCTGTCAGGATTTTGGGGGGGCTGTCCGGGTTTCGGGGGGTCTGTCCAGGTCCCGGGGGTCTGTCCGGGTCCCGGGGGTCTGTCCCGGTGCCGGGGGTCCCACGGCCGCTCCCCGCAGGGCCGTGCCCCCCGAGGTGCAGAGCGTGCGGGAGCTGAGCCCCGAGCTGGTGGTGGAGGCGGCCGTGCGCTGCCTGCGCGCCGTGCGCCCCGCGCTGGGCGCCTCGCTGAGCCCGCTGCTGCCGCCCGGCATCTCCGCCCGCTTCCGCCTGGCCTCCGAGCTGGCCGCCGCCTGCCAGGTACCGCGGGCTCCGTACAGCCGGCGGGTGTGGGGAAACTGCGGGCGGCACCCCTCAGAGGCGGCAGGACCGCGACTGGGGCCAAGCAGTCTGAGGGGAAACGGAACCCTGAGGGGGGACAGTGAGAGTGCCGCCTGTGGGGTCCTTGGGGCAGCTGAGGGGGGTCCCCAGATTCTGAGGGGATTTGGAGAGACCGGGGGGTCCCCAGATTCCGAGGGGATTTGGGGAAACCGGGGGCTCCCTCACAGAGCGCTGCCGCAGCTGCCTTGAGGGGAAAGGGGCGGAGGTACCCCGCACTCCGTACACCCGACGGGTGTGGGGAAACTGCGGGAGTGCCTCAAGAACCGCGACTGGGGCCAGGCAGTCTGAGGGGAAACGGAGCCCTGAGGGGGGACAGTGAGAGTGCTGCCTGTGGGGTCCTTGGGGCAGCTGAGGGGGGTCCCCAGATTCTGAGGGGATTTGGGGAAACCAGGGGAAACGGAGCCCTGAGGGGGGACAGTGAGAGTGCTGCCTGTGGGGTCCTTGGGGCAGCTAAGGGGGGTCGGGGGTCCCCAGATTCTGAGGGGATCTGGGTGCCCAGATTCTGAGAGGATTTGGGGAGACCGGGGGTCCCCAGAGTCTGAGGGGATCTGGGGAGACCGGGGCGTCGGGGGGTCCCCGGATTCTGAGGGTATTTGGGGAGAGCGAGGTGCCCAGATTCTGAGGGGATTTGGGGAGACCGGGGGGTCCCCAGATTCTGAGGGGATTTGGGGAGACCGGGGGTTGGGGGGGTCCCCAGATTCTGATGGGATCTCAGGAGACCGGAGCGTCGGGGAGCTCTCCAGATTCTGAGGGGATTTGGGGAGACCGGGGGGTCGGGGGTCCCCAAATTCCGAGGGTGGGAAATGGAACCCTGAGGGGGGACAGTGGGAGTGCTGCCTGTGGGGTCCTTGGGGCAGCTGAGGGGGGTCGGGGGTCCCCAGATTCTGAGGGGATTTGGGGAGACCGGGGGGTCCCCAGATTCTGAGGGGATTTGGGGAGACCGGGGGTTGGGGGGGTCCCCAGATTCTGATGGGATCTCAGGAGACCGGAGCGTCGGGGAGCTCTCCAGATTCTGAGGGGATTTGGGGAGACCGGGGGTTGGGGGGATCCCCAAATTCCGAGGGTATCTGGGGAGACCGGGGCGGCGGGGAGTCCCCAGATTCTGAGGGGATTTGGGGAGACCGGGGGATCCCCCAAATTCTGAGGGGATTTGGGGAGACCGGGGGGTCTTGTGGGGTCCCCAGATGCTGAGGCGATTTGGGGAGACCGGGGGCTCCCTCACGGAGCGCGGTCGCTGCTGCCGTGAGGGGAAAGGGGCGGAGCGCCGCGCGCGGGGCACGATGGGAGTTGTAGGCAGCGGTGCTGGAACCGCGGGGCATGACGGGAGTTGTAGGCGGCGGCGTGAGGCGGGAAAGGGCGGGCAAATGGCGGGCGGGGCCGTGAGGGGCTGGAGCCCTCGGGGAATGTGAGGGGAAGGAATGGCAGCCAGCGGGTGTGTGAGGGGAAAACGGTGCCCGAGAGCTGGGAGAGTGAGAAGTGCCATCTGTGGGGTCCTTGGGGCAGCTGAGAGGGAGATGGAGCCCGTGAGGGTGGTGGGGGAGCGAAACCCTGAGGGGAGAAATGTGTGGATGTGGCACCTGGGGACACGTTTAGGGTGGCCTTGGCAGTGCGGAAAAATTATGTAAAAAGTAGAAAAGTAAGTACAAATGGAACAATACTCTGTGTATTAACACTTGGCTAGAATAACTTCCTAAGCTACAGAAAAATATATCTAGAGAGAAATTAGGGAGTTCTAAGCTTAATAATGGAGCTCTGTGCACTGTGTTTTAAGGCTTACAAGCAGGTATTGTATTTGAAGTAAGCAAGCACTGTTTAAACTGAAAGTACATGTGCTTGTAGTGCTGGGATAGAAGTACTATTGATATGTTTTTGCTTTGTGTGATTGGTCAAAAAACTCTTAAATTAAGTTGTAATATTGAGTTCTTAGTCTGCTGCCTGGGATGTGAGCTGCTGGCATCCTCCCATTGCCATAACCACGTAATGAGACTGATGCTGGAAAATAAAACAGCTCAAGGCACGCTCCTAGCAGTGCCGTTTGTGATTTGTACACAGCCCCTGGCCGGCGATACCCCAAAACATCCCAAAACACCTCAAAACACCCCAAAACAACCCAAAACACCGCAACACACCCCAAAACACCTCAACACACCTCAAAACACCCCAAAACACCCCAAAACACCTCAACACACCCCAAAACACCTCAAAACCCCCCAAAACACCTCAACACACCCCAAAACACCTCAAAACCCCCCAAAACACCTCAAAACACCCCAAAACTCCCCAAAACTCCCCAAAACACCCCAAAACTCCCCAAAACACCCCAACACACCCCCAAACTGCGGGTTTCCCCCCACCTCAGCGCTCCCCTGGGAGCCGCGATCTGAGGGGATTCATGGCACCCAAACCTCAGTACCACCAAACCCTCCTCCAAAGGGGACCCCCGTGAATTTTGGGGTGTCCCCAGCGCGCGTCCCTCCCGCAGGAGCTGGGCTTTGGGGGTGACGTGGGCTACCAGACCTTCCTGTACAGCTCGGAGCACGACACGCGGCGCCTGCTCCTCTTCCTCGTGGAGAAGCTGCCCCGGGACGAGGGCGAGCGCGGCGCCGAGCCCCCCGGTACGGCCCTGCCGTTTCGGGGTGCCCCTTTCTGGGGGGGTTTTGGGGGTGCCTGACCCCTTCCCTCGCTGTTCCCCTCCCCAGGGAAGTCGGGGGCGCTGCTCCGAGCCATCGGCGCCAGGATCAGGGAGCAGCTGGGGACCCCCTGGGTGCCCCCCCTGTGCCGCACGCCCCGGCTGCAGCGGCTGCAGGTGAGCTGGGGGGTCCCTCTTCACCTGGGGGGCTAATTAACCCACTAATTAACCCGCTAATTAACCCGCTAATTAACCCTTTCTAGGGTACAAGCCACCTCAAGCCTTTCGCTACCTGCCCCCTGGTCCTGCCTCAAAGTGGGGGACCCCCAGGTGAGAGCTGGGGGGGTGTGGGGGTCGTTGTTACCCTAAATTTGGGGAGCTCCGTGTGAAATTTGGGGGTGTCACCCTAATGGTGTGGGGGTCATTGTTACCCTAAATTTGGGGAGCTCGGTGTGAAATTTGGGGGTGTCCCCCTAAGGGTGTGGGGGTCGTTGTTACCCTAAATTTGGGGAGCTCGGTGTGAAATTTGGGGGTGTCACCCTAAGGGTTTGAGCTGTGCCCTGCAGGAAAGGTGGGGGGGGGGTTCGTTGTTACCCCAAATTTGGGGAGCTCGGTGTGAAATTTGGGGGTGTCACCCTAAGGGTTTGTGCTGTGCCCTGCGGGTCATTGTTACCCTAAATTTGGGGAGCTCCGTGTGAAATTTGGGGGTGTCACCCTAAGGATGCCCCACATGAAGGGGGTGTCAGGATTTTAGGTGATGATTTGGGGGTCCCCACGGTAATCCCGGGTGGGGGTGTCCTTGTTTTTGGGGGGTGTTTCTCCTCACCCCCCCCTGTCCCCGCAGAGCTGCAGGAGTATTTTGGGGGTGCGGCCCCCCCGGTGCCAGCACAGCCCCCCCTTTCCTCGCAGAGCCCCCCGGCCCTGCTGGAGGCCCACGCTGCCCAGCTGAGCGCCCGCCACGACTGGGAGGCTGAGTGGGGGGGCCCCGGCCTGGCCTCCCGCCTGCCCCCCCAGGTGAGACCCCCCCGGGCAGGGCTGGGGGTCCCCAGGCCTTGGGGGGGCTCTGGATGCAGGGCTGGGGGTCCCCAGGCCTTGGGGGGGGGCTCTGGGTGCAGGGCTGGGGTCCCCAGGCCTTGTGGGGGGGGCTCTGGGTGCAGGGCTGGGGGTCCCCAGGCCTTGTGGGGGGGGCTCTGGGTGCAGGGCTGGGGGTCCCCAGGCCTTGTGGGGGGGGCTCTGGGTGCAGGGCTGGGGGTCCCCAGGCCTTGTGGGGGGGGCTCTGGGTGCAGGGCTGGGGGTCCCTGGGCCTTGTGGGCTGGGGGCTCTGGGTCCCCCTTCTCTCACCCCCAGGGGTTTGAGGGAGGGGTCCCCTCTGCAGGATGGGGGGGCTGGTTTGGGGTTTGGGCAGGGCGGTGTTTGGGGGGCGTTTTGGGGGTTTTTGGGAGCTGTTTTGGGATTTTTTGGGGTTTTTTGGAGCTGTTTTGGGATTTTTGGGGGGATTTTTGGGGCTATATTGGGGTTTTTTGGGGGCTGGTTTGGGGATTGCACGGGGGGGATATTTCGGGGAGCTTGGGGGTGGGGGTCCCCAGGGCTTGGGGGGGCTCTGGGTCCAGGGCTGGGGGTCCCCAGGGCTTGGGGGGGGGCTCTGGGTGCAGGGCTGGGGGTCCCCAGGCCTTGTGGGGGGGGCTCTGGGTGCAGGGCTGGGGGTCCCTGGGCCTTGTGGGCTGGGGGCTCTGGGTCCCCCTTCTCTCACCCCCAGGGGTTTGAGGGAGGGGTCCCCTCTGCAGGATGGGGGGGCTGGTTTGGGGTTTGGGCAGGGCGGTGTTTGGGGGGCGTTTTGGGGGTTTTTGGGAGCTGTTTTGGGATTTTTTGGGGTTTTTTGGAGCTGTTTTGGGATTTTTGGGGGGATTTTTGGGGCTATATTGGGGTTTTTTGGGGGCTGGTTTGGGGATTGCACGGGGGGGATATTTCGGGGAGCTGTTTTGGGGGCTTTGGGGGTCTATTTTTGGGGTTTTGGGGGGTCTGTTTTGGGGGTTTTTGCGGGCTGTTTTGGGGGTGTTTGGGGGCTGTTTTGGGGAGCTGTTTTGGAGGCTGTTCGTGTCCTGTGGTCG